TGTTGTTATGGCGCAAGATGCAGAGTCAACTTGGCCGGAGCGGTGTGCGCTGATGAAACAAATATTGGCTATCCAATGCGTCCGTTTGCACGCTATCATACGTAATTCATAACGAGGACCTGGCACAAAAGCCGCTTCACCCTACAAACTGGTCCACGCCTCTGTCGCCGAGAGAGAGTCCAATGTTAATGACCCTCGCGCTCCTGATCGCCACGGACTTGGACCCCCTTCGCATGCACCCCAACGCATACTTCGCCGACGACTACCAGACGGCGCTCTGCAGAAGTCCCGCTGGCGGGGCTCGCTTGACGCTGGCGAAAGCGACCAGAAATACGCACAAAGCAAACAGAAATGATCTAGGGACATGTCCAACAATGCAACGGCAGAAGGCAGGCACCAGCAAGGAAGGCAAAGACAAACCCATAGCATGCATAGAGGCAATCCACTTCGGTCCAGCACTGCAGACCGCGCGAGTCACACTGCGCGCACGGGCCCAAACGCAGCTGTCACTTATGCATGGTATTATCAGTCTACGCGCCCTTCGTCCCCCATCGAAGAGCCGACGCAGAAACAAGCAGTGACTGCCTTCACCGAGAGTGATATGGATACGCGGGCTGCGGCGTGAAATGGCAGTGCTCGTTCCTCTTGAAGACGGTATGCATGCGCCCTGCATGTTCTCGGAGGCTTGGATACATATCCTGCGGGCGCAAAAAGAAACAAGACATGTAAAATGGCTCAACGACCCCATTGCTGCAATCATGGCCATCTGCTGCGCGTGGGCAATGACGCCGACGAACTTTCAACGCCGCCCGCCGCTGGGCGAAATGGGCGGTTAGCCGCATCATCCTGCCCGTAATTAACAACATGCGCCTGCCGTTCGCATTGCCGTCACGGCGAAGGTCGAGGCGAAATGGGCAACTACATAAAAACCCCGACCAGCGAAAGAGACCCGTCCACGCTTGCGGATGGTCTTCAAGATGAGGACCGCTCGAGTCGCCGCTGAGAAATTGCATGCTGCCTGCCTCCCCCAGAAACTTCGACCGCGATGTCGGCCTTCACGAGTGTCGACGCGAACGAGTCGCAGACATATGCGGCGGCCCCACTCAACGCCATCGAAGCTGATCCTTGCGCGAAATCGAGCAAGGCGGGGCGGCATGTTCCCTCCCTGCGCACAGTGGCGAGCGCATGGGGCGCCCCACACTCAAAGAAGAAAATGCATTGGGCGACGCAATGCTCCGTCGTGCTCCGCGTCACACTGTCTGGGCGCGGTCTTGGACGGAAGCGATCAAGCGCTCAGATGCTTCGTCCATCTACGTCGGCCGTGGAGTCAAGTTGCTGGTGTCCACACGCGTTGAAGAATGCTTCGGACCTCTTAATGGAATCGCCGCTCATCTCCGTGAACTCCGCATCGCTCTCGGAGTGGAGACGCATCAGCTTCGCATCGGCCTCAGCATCGTACCCCAAACTTTGCCCGCGCATGCCTTCGATCATGTCCGAAAGCGCCGCGAAACGAGAGGCTGATCCCTGGCTGCACCTGCATGGTTTCCTGATCGCCGCAATTATTTTAGCCGACGCCGAGCCGACCACACTTAGGATGTAATCGAACCTAGTACCCTTCTCACCATCAGAGGCGCGCGAACGTCGGAAGAGGAGAATGGAGCATCATGGCGACGTCTGCCCAGCACTAACAAGGCGCGAAGCATATTCAAGAGCCACGAAGTCAGCAGCACTGCTTGACAACGGACAGACGATGTGTACTTGAGCTAATACCGCAAACAGATAATCAGATGCGATTGTCGATGAGACGACACCTCGAATGACCGTTATCGAGATAGTCATAAGGCAGCGACCACCAACCAGTCAAACATAGAAGTGATATTAGTTGTCGCTCGCTGCGGTGATTGCTTACCTTGACGAACCTGCGACAGCGCTGACGGTGCCTCAACGATCAGGCGACGTATACGCCGTGCATCTGCTTACACGTCCCCCGATTTCCCTGCCACAGGTTAAACTGAAATGAAGAACCGGCTGGAAAATGTCACCGAGCACCAGTCGGGTATCATGAATTCCAAACTGGTTTGCTCGATCCTGGAAGATATTTGAACATAGTGGCGGAGCATGTGATGGATCAATGTGGTGGGACATGGATGTTCTCAATCCGCAGGTGCATGTCGATGTTCACCGTGCTTGGTTACACAGGGCCAGTATGCAACGTCCACGAAGGAGTAATGCTCAAGAGTTGGCTCTCGCAACGGATCGGTTCCATGTAGCAGGTTTCCCGTCGATGCCTGGCAAGGAAAGTGATTGGGCTGGCAAGGAGACTACCAGCATGGCTTTCAACATCAGCACAAGACAATTGCCAGAATTCCAAGAAACGTCGCCTAATTACTGGCACGGAGGCTGAATGGGCACGGCTTTCCTTTCGTGTGTACCATGGCCACGGCACAAAAGGACCACTACAATGAGCAGTCACAGCTTGACGCGACTATGGCATGGAACA